ATTTGGACTAAGTAATTGTGAATCTTTGTGTGCTTACAACTTGTTACGATATTAAACACAAGAAGACCCAAATAGAAACACAAATACTATTGTTGGTATATTTTCCTTCTAATCTATCCGTTGAGGAAACGAGAAACAGTGACATGTAATGTTATATATGATGGATGGAATAAAATATTGGTAGCAGATGGACGGATGGAAAGTTTCTATAAATCAAGATGGGTGACAGATACCGATTGTCAATAGGATTTATAAGATATATCTTAGAATAATTAATGGTTGAATGTATGCTGCAATACTACACAATTACTAGCGAGAACTCTTTACTGTAAAATAACTTATCTCATTGAATAAAGCTATTATTATTATTATTATTATTATTATTATTATTATTATTATTATATAATAACTATGAAGTGGTAGTTGATTGGGAAACGAAACAAACCGATTAACCAGGATAGGCAATGATGTAAACGAGATGGATTATTAAGGAGATTATAAAATCTTCTCAAAGCATATATGAACGAAACTGTATGCCTGTGTAAATGTATATGTACATAAATGACCAGGTAAACAGAGAATCTAATAGTCTAAATTTCTTATTTTTTATATTACTATTTAAGGATGAGAAATAAAATAAGACTAAGACGAATACAGATGGAAATAATCACAACCCCTAAGTAGTTAAGTGAACCCTAAATGTTTGTTTAAAACAATCGACTAAATACAATACAAATTGTTTCCAGTCCCATGGGGTTATGGATGATTTATAAATAGATCAAATTTCAAGACAAGACGGAGAAATGAGACAATAATATACAAAAACAAAAACACACACATTTAAATCGGTCTTTAATTGGAACAAACAACAGTATGGTTAATTTTTTTACATTAAAAAGAAAAATTACAACAACACAATTTGTTCCATCATACATAACTATCTTTCTTAATCGCTGGAAATTCATTCCACATAAATGATAAATACAATGAATGGGAAATGGTCACTAGTGTTCAATGAATAAAGCATTCTAACCTTGGGTCAATTATTTATGTTTTTCAAAGATAAATTATCATTTGAGATGTTTGTTTGCTAGCTGCAGCACAAATAGACTGAAAAGGAGGAGAATATTTTCTTACTCCCAGTATGATTCGATTATAGAAGTATGAAATAATGGATGTTCACTTTTGTTTTCAAGATAATAAATAAAAAAGTGGAATAACTCGAATAAAATTGAGACATAATATAGTATAGAAGTGATAATGAAGCAGAAGAAATGTGAGGAGAAAAGGCCAAACAGAAGCGTGGAGATGGATGATACATAGACTATATATATATTGAGTATTCCGCATGTTTATATTTTTGCCCCGAATAAATTTAATAATCATCATGTCCGCAGGTAATGCTTTTCATATTTTATATAAAAGACAAATGACAGTTGAACTAAGCTTATAAAATAAAGTTTACCTAATGGACAAAGGACTTATGACTTATGGGACAGAACGATGACAATTTGAAGTTCTGAAGGAAAAAATAAGATTAGAGAGAGAAAAAAAACAGTTAAGATTAGTGTGTGATGACTAGGCAGCAAGTATGTGAAATTTACGCGTAGTTCACAACTGATGATGGCTCGTTAAACAGTTACACTTGTGAAATAATACATTATAATTACAGTGCACTGAAACGATAGATGTATCCTTTATCTTGGTAGATACGCTTACTTTCAATTTAAACGTTCGAACTGTATTTGAAAATTCAAGAGCTAAACAAACCATCGGCCTAATGGATTGTGTTTCTGATAATATTTAATCGACGATTTAATCACATTGATTGATATTAGCCAAACTATGTCATTTCCAGCGACGAAGTAATGATCATACCCAGAGGATATGGAATAGATAATATATTATAATGATCTATTATTTTGAAACAGAAGCTTCTGATAAATAGATGTGGAGACTATGCTACATGTATCTGACAGATGAAATCATGGACATGTGGTTAGCCGACCGGAACTAGTCGTCAAGATACCCTCAACCTACGTTTCGTACTAATTAATACACGTCCGTAAGACAGAATTGTGACCGTGAGGAACTCATAAACCCTGCAGCACTGGAACCTGTGTTACATGACTTCACAGTCTTAGATATCAAAATGAGGTATACAAGTCATGAAAGACAATCAAAATATAATCGCATCAATTCATACGATCATTTCACAGCTCATATATTCCAGCTTACTAAAACGAAATAATAAACATGTCTATTTCTAATTAGAGTTTAGAAATATTATTAAAATTACCACTTCACAGTATAAATAATTTTAGTTGATTAATAATAAACGTATATTTAACACAATGAAATGAACTCAAATATGAGTTGATTAGATGAAATCAGAAAATATTAAGCCAATAATTTTTTTTCACCAATATTGGATTGTGACTAACAGTATAACTAAGTACGCTATTGATGTAGACTATTCAGGATGTATATATACCAATCGAGACTAAATCAATGTGGACCTTAATAGGACGGCCTATGCTCCTTTACGAGAATTAACAGAAAGTAATATATTAATGTCATTTCTGTTTTCATATTTTTCATCTTTCTTGATGAATTGTTCACTTTAATGATTACAAGTGTCCATGATTGTGTAGGTATGCTCCATTTGTCCGTAAAAAGAGAAAAAGATTCTTTTCAACGCAGAACAAGTTATAATTGCTATATTTTATATAAGACATATGAAATAACACATGGGCAAAGCGTTACGGATAATCATGATTCATATAAAAATAAGAAGGCATATAAAAAAAAGAAAGTTTCTGAAAACCAAAAGACATGTGTATTGTGAAATATGTAACATTACTTATTATATTATCCAAAAATATCCACACCGAGATCAATAATGAAGGGAAATGGGGAAAAAAGAAACTCATCCCTTGCTTGATCACTTCGACTAATATTAAAAGCTACACGAATTCAGTAAAAAATGATGGGCTTTGGAAAAAATAAGGAAAACTTTGAAAAATTTTGGAGGAGGGAAAAAAGAAAAAGACAAAACAATGAAAGATTTTCATTATCAGAAAGAATTTTTAACTCCATCCCGACATTTGGAGGAGATAGGCTGTTTTTTTGTTTAAAAGCAAAATACCAAGTTGCTTCAACACAAGGAGCATTATTATTATCATTATCACATTTTTTCACTGACGACAACAACTAGCCAAAAAGTGACGATTGTAGGAAAAGGTTAGATTACATACATATGATAAGTGATTTGTAGAAATTTGGTTATCTGCTAAAAATAGATGTTCTTATCACGAACATCGATATTAACTGGAAACAATTACTAGGAAATCTAGGAAGCATTTTACATCCTCTATTTGTCAATCAATAGTGACCTGTTTCAAGAAGGATGATTGGGACTTCGTGTCGGATGTTGTGTATGACCCGTGAAATTATCTCAATCATAAAGCAAAATGTATACCCGTCGATTATATAAGATTATATTTATACTATTACCTAGAATGGAATGATACTGGGAGACTTGAATGATTGGCTTTTAATTCGGTGGGGCTGGAGATAAACTCCACGTTGTCAAGTAATCTAAGTGTAACGTAGTCAGTAATTACGGTTATGTTCTCATTTATTTAGTCACTCAGTTGTACATATTTGGGAATAATCTCTACTACAGAATTAATTGGAAGTATGAATTTCGCTATTTTATAATTTCTCTCCCATTATGACTGAATGCGCCAGAGTTGACACGTTCGCAGCATGATGGAGTGATATTTTCGTCGTAGAAAACTTTACATTTTTCATGTAAGCCAACGAAAACGACAAAGAACGAAACACACTCTCGTAAATGAAAAGCGCATTTTGGTCCTCACATATGACCGACTGCTTGTTATGTGATGACAGCAGTAGCAGCAATGAGAAAACTCCGTTGTTTAAAATACTACATACATATAAATAAGTTTGACAGCCTCGAATTAAAATGTTCTTTCAGTTAGCTTGAGGTTGATTCAATCAAGACAGTTGAATGGGTTTAATTACCATAGCCATTAATTCAGCATCTTAATCCACATATTTGGTCAAACTAATAAATCCCCTTATAATAATGGTAATAAAAATAGGATTTCCAGTCGAAACATTTGTGTGTAAATTAGGGCTTGTCGAGAGTTGAGATATGCACAAATCATGACATTAAAAATAAATCAACATATTAGTATAAGTGAGAACAGAAATAGTGTCATCCCACTACTATGTTAAAAAACTGTTCATATTGTCGAGAAAACAGTGGCTAATTAAATTTATACATATAAGATCCGCTAAAGTAATGAATCGATTTCTTTGTCGCATTCACGTACAAGTTGACACGGTAAACAATGCATAATATAACTATACGATCTTTAGGATTTCATTAAAGGAGACGAAACATGTGCTAAATTCATCACCAGAATCTTGATCACATGAACTAGCTAGATCACCACTCGTTTCCCATGTAGAACAAACTATACCTTTCATATTATTTTGTATAAATATTTAGATCACCCGACATAAAAAAATGAGAAAGTATGAATTATATATTGCTTATTGAATTCAATACTAAGCACCAATGAATAATAATTGTTAGTCCGCATGAATTTAAAACTTAAATATAGGAAGTTCATGAAATATATCGAAGACAAATAGGAATGAAGTTGATTGCAACTATGTCAGAGAATCCTAATCCGTGAGTTCTCTCTTTAAATTAATATGTAGGGAAAATGCTCTGGTGAGAAAGAGTAAAGCCTCATTAATCAATTGTGATCGGTTGAGTCATTGAAGTAATGATGTTAACGTTTACAGCTTACTCTTGGATTTTAGTGAGGGAGAGCAAATCCCTTAAAAAAATCTCTTAGACTGTAGAACAAGATTGGTTATAGATCCACATAAATATACACACATTTTAAATGATCTTATCTAAAGAGCAAAAAAGCACATATTGGTAGAAATATACTTACTTGATTCAAACCCCCACCTTCAGAGAAGAGAACTTTAATAAGTTTCAATGCACCAAAATCAACTTGAAGCCATTCATCTAATTCTTTATGAATTAATTTGGCTGGACACCAAGCACCAGAAATTTCTTCTTTCGAAGCAAACACTACAAAACTAAACATGAACAACAAAATACAATGAAAATGAGACAAAATAGATTTACATAATGAATTTTACTTCCAAACCCTACCCTTTTTCACGTTAACCAAATGACAGTCAATTACAGTAATGAATTATAAAAAGATTATTCCAGTTAATCACCATTAAAACATTCTTGAAAGATAAATGAACTGAAAATTAGTTTAATTTGAACTGTAACTCGAACAAAAAAAGCATACGTATTATATTATCTCGTTATATATTAAAGTGATTACGGGTCAATTGTTAAATATTATAAGCTAGTTATTACCAATTACATCCGTTCGATCTATGTTCTCGTCAGAGATGGATTTATTCTTTCATTTGTCTAAGACATGCGAGTTACGAAAAAATAAACAGAATAAAAATCATTTCTCTATGATATAGGAACCTATTAATGACCTATCATAATAACATAATGAAAACTTTTATATTCCCACTAGCGTAAGACAATTTGAAATGTTCAGAATGGGGCTTGTAGAGATTGTAGTGATTTTAATAGTTGAATTCATGAGTCGATTTAAGCTAGACTACAACTTCAAAACCTGGAAGTACTGAACGGCTGATTCGTCTTAGTATAAGACTCCTCATCAGTGCGCATCCCCGATCCCACGCGGGGGAAAAATTCGAAGTGTTTATTACATAAATTAAGAACCCTACAAATATCTTGGTAATGAATTGAATTTTAAGTCGATCATATCTTTTAAATAACAACTGATTTCGCGCTGTTATCTCATTCTCGTTTAATAGATTCATTTTCTTAGTCAACTAAGAGAAGTTCCTTTAGAAGTGGTTCAAAAAAGTATTTAAAATTGTTACAAAAAGAGATGATACATGAATTGCTACAAAAAAGATCAAGTATTAATAATACTATGGAGAACTAGAAGATTAAACACATACTGTTTATATGTGAATTACCTTAATAATGGAAATTTCTCCTATAAACTAATTTACAGTACATATATGGAAAGTGCACCTTAGAAAAATAACGCTCGTCAGATTTTAATTGGGCTATATCTCCTCTATAGAACTTGATTACAAGCCATTACTTTTTACATCATTTCCGGTTTCATTGGTACACTACTAAATTCTTAAACATTTTGATATCCAGTATCATCATGAGACAGATACTTACAGTACAGAAAACATGTTTCGCATTCTACTTTCTCACACTAAATGAACATAATATCTAAACATCATGTTACTTTTCACAATCCACGTTACATTAACGTAGAGGATAAAAAGTACGACAAACTACTTAGTACTGGTGTTACTTACTGCAATTTTCAAACACTTTTAATATTCTGCTATTTCCACATAAACAGAAGCGTAACAGGCATCCTAGTAAAACTGTTCTCATACTGTCAACTATGATAAATCTTATACTTATCTGAAAAACTATTCTCTTTCTTACAACTGAACAATCCATAATGATCACGAGTAACAAATTGAATTTGTGTGTTTTGCACAAAACAAGAGATTTCTTCTTGATGCATTTTATCATCTTTCAGCTGTTACATTTCCGATGGAACAAAGGTATCTGGAGAAAAAAATTTTGATGTCTATACATACTAGGATTTGTTATTACAATAAAAAGTATCATCATCACATATGAAGATTGATAACTGTAGATACTCTTCCAAAGTTAACAGTAAAAATAATTGCGTTGCGTTAAATGGTTGAAGATGATTGAGCTAATGATGAGAGGAAACCTCAAGAACAATTCAGAAATTACTTTAAAAATCTCAAATTATTTTTACAAGTTAACAGTTTCATACCGATTCCCACCATTTATTATTTGCAAAAACATTTAGCTTATTCAACTCTATTTAAAAAGTAGTCTTCGGTAGTGAAACTAATGAAGTTACTTATTTTCTGTACGTGTATAAGCATCCAAAAACTATTAACCTAGTTTTGGTTGAATGTACAGTTCATTTTATTTAACTGCTTCCATGTGAATTTCACATACATACACACAAACCCTTAGAACAATGTTTTTAGACAGTAAGTAGTCTGAACAACAACAATAAGGACTAATTGACGGCGAGGAGTCATCATCGGACATCTTAATCTGGAACAGAATTAAAATAATACCATATAGATATAAAATGATAAGAAAGCGTGGAGGGTGAGGGGGTAAAAAGTGTGAATACCACAACTATTAACAAGAGAATTTTCTATAAATATTCAGATAAACATCAGCATACATCGTAACTTTTCTTTTTTTTTTAAATGATGAAGCACAAGGTGGACAAGGAAAAACACAAGAGAGTAACCACATTAAGACTTTTAAGTCACTATCGTCCTACTACTTACTCTGGGGTTTTGTATACATTTTAATTCACTGATATAAATATCATAGTTTCATACTAATGAACAGTAAGTGGGATAGTGTTGAATAAGAAAATAATTACTAATACGTAGAAATTGATGCATTGTTTAGATAAAGCAAGCAATACCTGCTGTAACACATACATCCGGAAACAAAAGCTATTATTTTGTTGTTTCAACCTTGTTGTTCACATTTTTTCCTTATTCTCTGAAATACAATGTGTATGTTAAGGCGTGAAATAAAAATTTAATTCCATAGTATTTCATTATATGACATATTTATCAGATAGTATACATCTTACGCATATAGGCGAAAAGGCAAACTAACATTTTATATATATATATATATATATATATATATATATATATATATATATATAAAGTGCAAATAAGCTGAGCATCAGAATGAAAAACAATGGATGGCAAAGATAAGAAATCTACAAACAAAGTGAAAATCTTTTTTTCTAGAAGAAGAGCAGTGTAAACAGGATCTTAAATTGTGTTGTCAGTCTGCTAGCCACACCTAATAACCAACGAGATTAACTTTTGTGACCTATGTCTAATAATTTTGACCAACAGGTTCACATACAATAACAATTAAACGAGTATCTATTTTAGGTGAAACAGAATATAATCAACTTGAATAAATATGAAGAGTATTTAAAAGAAAAGTATTGGAGACAAATGCAATGTAACTATCATGAACAGGTGCTTATGTACTTATTTTAAGCAATATATTCTTTAGGATGAGGCATTATTGATAATACAGACTGTACTAAAAGTGGTTTTATATAAACAAATACGACGGATACCATGTTTGATGAAAATGATTTTATAGTTTACACTACTGACTGACGTGAGTTAGGTAACCAGATCTTGGGTTCGATTCCCGGTGGGATCATAAATGTGTACTGATTTGTTCTAAACCGATATAAAGCACACGTACAATTTTTCTTGGTTTTCAATGATTCTCTAAGGTCAGTTCGTAATATGAACTATAAAATCCAAACATGAGGCCACCATAGTATTGAAGTATGGTTGTGCAGCATCGTCAACTGAAGTTAGAAATATAAATCATCAGATTTTGGTTCACCAGTCCGAAGGATAACCCATCGCCTTGGAACCTGAAGGTTTTAGGTTTTATTCCCCACATGGTCGTGGAAATCTATTGAGAAAGAGTTCATCACAAGGTCGAAATAGCTCTCCAATGCTTTCTGGTTCAAATAGATGTCTAACTAAAGTCAGCTTGTGAGGTAAACGGTAGATTCATATTGTTTGAGAGGTAAGGAAACCCGTCGACCGACCAAAAGCCTTGACAACGGACCTACCAATTGTATGAAGAAATTTTTCCTAAGCCGAAACACTACAACCCCATAAAACTTGGATATCTGTATAAATGAAAACTAGTTGGAAACCAAGGGATTTGAAGTTTTCTCGATCAAGAATATAACACTCATAATAACACAAGTGCTAAGGTCAAACAATTACAGGAAGACCAATGACTTCACTTGATTTTATGAAGGCCAAATATACATTATGACTATATTAGCTCTTCACTGGAGATCATGGCTAGTCAGTCATCTTGTAAAGCCACCTTCAGCCCAGTTATGAAACATTTTAGCCCGATATAACATACGGAAGAACAGCTCAGGCGTGATGTCTACAATGGTCTATGAATTTATAAGATATATGTATACATACATACTTAATGACCAATGATTTACATGTACAATATCAATGATATTACATGTTTAATCGGATAAACATTGTGATAAATCATGTAAACAGCTGAACAGGTTCTCAATAAGCAATGTGCAAAGTTTCACTGGACAAAAAATGTTGAGACTGTTTACTACTATTCAGGAGAAACAAACTTGTGACGAACAATTTACCACTCTCAAAAATAGAACCATTACTATCAAGAAAATATATTCGTAAATAAGTTTTGTATAAAGAAAACATCAACTTATAGTGCTTTAACTGACAATTCAGATATCAATTAATCTTTTCAATAATCCACTTAAGTTCTTTGTACTCTATTGCTTCCTAATATTTGAAAAATAAACAAAACAGGAAAGAAATGGTTCACAAGAAAATGTGACTACTTGACAAAACCTTAGGAGAATGCACACATACAAACTCTGATAAAGAATAGATCATATGATGATAGTGACTGGCGCCCATTTCACTTTAGAGTCGGAAATAATGAAAAAAATACAAATGTTCATTTATCATCATCAACATTGCAACAATAATTTTTAAAAAAAACGCGCTATTATGATTAAGTATGTATATACACATTGACATTTGAATAACAAGAATTAAACAATAATTTTTACTTGGATGAGTTAAAGGCTTATTATTTTTTGTTGAGTAGAAATAGGATATGAACGCATGTCTCAGATGAAAAATGACAAAAGTCATTGGACTATATAAAAAATTTAGGATAAAATAAGGGATATGGTTACAACGTGTACAAAATTATAATTACCGGACGATTAAGCGTACAAATACAAGAAAGGTATATATATGTACTCCTGATCATAAATAGGTAGATCATATCACTTAACAGTTAATTAATGAACTGGAAGGGACAACGCCGACATCAATTCTAATTTCTATGGATTTCCTTCATTACATATATA